AAGCCTCTTAAAGATCAAAGATCTGGAGAGGTTTACAGAGCTCAGTGACCAGTCCCAACTGCTGGCAGACAAGCTATTAAAATTAAAAATGCTTGAGAGACCAGATTTAGAGGGGCTTAGAGATCTTGGAGGGTTGTGGAACTGGAGGAGATTTCAGAAACAGGAAGGAATAAGAGGCTCAAAAACAAGGGTGCGAAATCTAAATGTAAATTTCTGAAGTGGGAGCTAACAGAAGTCAATGCAAGCACAGGGATGACGGACACATCGGACATTTGGGCAAGGGCAGTTGTTTTAGTTAAAGTAGACACGGCCTTTCCACCTGTCATCCCATGTCCCTAAGGGATCTATAAAAAGTTTCAGATTTCTGTATTCTTATCTGCATTGGCCAGTATGTAATCTCTGCTGTTGCCTTGCAGTAGGGACAGCGACTCTGAATTTCCAAACTTGTCTGGGGCTCCCTGGGGTTGACAGTATTTTTAGCACATCCCTGGGAACATGCTGGTATTTGCAGGGATTTCTGGAATGCATCAAGATTTGTAAAGCCAATTCGGCCTTGACCATGGCTGTCTTTCAATCCGAACGTAACCTTTTCTCCCTCTGATCACCTCCTCCCATCTAGCACCTTCATCCCTCCAGTATGCATTTCCTTCTGTACTTCACTGCTATCTATTCCACACTGCCAGAACTACATGTTTTAGAGCTACTCAAAGTGTACTCGAAGAGAAAGCTCACGGTCATAAGCTTCGTGGCTCCCATGGAGTTCTGACCAAATATAAACAGGGTAAATGCTGAGAGGATGTTCCCCATCATGGGAGAGTCTCGGACCAGATGGCATAGTCTCAGAATTTGAAACCGAGATAAGGAGAAATTTCTTCTCTCTGAGGGTTGAGAGTTTTTAGAACTCCTAGACACAGGGAGCTGTGAGGGCAGAGTCCTTGTGTATATTTAAGCCTGAAATAGATTTTTGATCAGTCAGGGAATCAAGGGTTACAGGGAAAACACAGAAAGTGGACATGTGTAGCACTGGAACAGTCATGATCCTTGTGAATAACGGAGCAGGCTCAGGGGGTCAAATGGCCTACTCCTGTTCCTATTTCTTATGGTCTTCACAACCATGAGGGCCCTTTAAATCCTTGTGTTTTTTAATGGCCCAACTGATTGGCTCGTTAAAAGGTCAGCTAAGAGGTAGGCTTTTAAAATCCAATTTAAAAATCTCCGAAGTTTAAACACTTTACATCATGTCCCGTACCTCAGTATTCACAACGCATACCTCCCCACAAAATAGCCCCGCCCATCTCACTCGGGGGGTGGTGGCACTTTTCATGCCTCAAAATGGGGTCAAAGTGGAAGAGGAATTGGCAAGCATTGCTATTTATGATCAGCTGATAGGTATCACATATCTCTGCTCCCCATGTTACAGACTCGCACACTTTCTCAACTTCACCCTACCAAATTCCTCCACCCTCCCTAAAAACTTTTAAGGACACAGGGTAAGTCATTTAGGACTGATATGAGGAGAAATTTCTTCAACCCAGGGAGGGCTGCACCTGTGGAATTCTCTGTGATGGTAAACGGTTCAGGCCAAAACATTAAAGTTTCCAAGAAAGAGTTTGATATAGTTCTTGGGGCTAAAGGGCTTATAGGCTATGGGGAGAAAGCAGGAACGGGGCTGAGTTGGATGATCAGACATGATCATGTTGAATGGCAGAGCAGGTTCAAAGGGCCGAAAGGTTCCTGCTCCTATCTTCTATAATCTCCTGCGGGACTCCCTTTCACGCTTGCTCAGCCTATCCTGATTCTTTCATCCTTGTATAGTCATAGAGTCATACAGCATGGAAACAGACCCTTAGGTCCAACCAGTCCATGCCGACCATAATCCCAAACTAAACTAGTCCCACCTGCCTGTTCCTGGTCCATACCCTCCAAACCTTTCTTATTCAGCATCCACCAATTTCTCAGGAAGTTCATTCCACATGCGAATTACCCTCTGTGTAAAAAATTTGCCCCTCATGTCTTTTTTAAATCTTTCTCCTTCAAAAAAGCGCCTTCTAGTCTTGAAATCCCCCATCCTAGGGAAAAGACAACTACCATTAACTCTATTTCCCTCTCATTATTTTACAAACTTCTATGTCGCCTCTCAATCTACCACGCTCCAGTGAAAAAGAGAGTCCCAATCTATCCTGCCTTTCTTTATAAATCAAACCTTCCATACCTGGCAACATCTTGGTAAGTCTCTTCTGAACCCTCTCCAGCTTGATCATATCCCTCCTATAACTGGGTGACCAGAAATGGACACAGTATTCCAGAAGAGGCTTCACCAATGTCCTGTACAACCTCAACATGACTTTCCAACTCCGATACTCAAAGGACTGAACAACAAAGGCAAGCTCAGTCCTTTGAGTACAGGAGTTGGGAAGTCATGCTGAGGTTATACAGGACATTGGTGAGGCCTCTTCTGGAGTACTGTGTCCAGTTCCCGATTTTAGAAACATTCTTCTCAATCTTCTCCCCACGTCTCCAGTGCACGGAGAGTTTAACTGCAGAGAGTTCTCTAAGATTCTGAATAAAATTAACCTTACCTCATGGCTTTTGCAATCTATTCTTCTGAAAATATTTCTTTTATGACTTTACGTCACGTCTCTTCATATTCAGGTATCTATTCCCAGAACCCATTGTTCCTTTACTCCATCTTCTTTCTTACTGTTTCAAGTCAGTAAGTGGGCTCCTTATTCCTCCATCTAAATTGAAGCATCTCTCACTCTGCTGGATTAAATTTAACTTGCCACTTATCTACCCTGTTTTGCATCTCAGCACATATCCTCCTGAGTTTTGGTGCAGTCGTTCATTTCATAAGCTGTGCCCACACTTGCCCAGCCAAGCTTGCACTATTGGCAAACCTTGACAATGTTCTTCCCATCTCGAATCATTTCTGTTTGAGACGAACGCTGAGGTAGACCCAGCACCCAGCCCCGAGGATTACCATGACCTCTTTTGTACCGGTCCTTAACACCTCCCCTCTCTTTTCGGTAGACATCTTCCGATCCAGTTCACCAGCTGAGCCCTGACTCTACACATCCTGCTTTTCTTGAGCCATGGCAGTCGATGTAGTGTAGGGGCGCCCATAGTGCTGCTATGCAGTGAGTTCTAGGATTTGCACCCAGTGACACTGATTTATTTCCAAGTCTGGATAATCTGTGGCTTGGAGGACAGTGGGTAGGTGGGGTGTTCCCCTGTGCCTGCTGCTTTTAAACTGCTGGACGGTAGTGGTTGCGAGTTTGGAAAGTGCTGTTGAAAGAGCCATGGTGAATTTCTGCAGTGAATCTTACAGACAGTACAAACAGAAAGCTGACGTTTCTGGTTGGGCCTGGCCTGCTGTGTTCCTCCAGCTCCACACTGTGTTATCTCAGACTCCAGCATTGGAAGTTCTTACTATCTCTGAATGTTTCTTCTGAGCTGTGTGGGTGAAGCTGCTCCGATGTTCCGCACAGAGCAATTGACATCAGCACACTAAACACGACACTGATGTCTGGTTCCAGAAATCGCTTCTCAGAGACCCACGCAGCTGGTGAGAAAATTAGAGGGAACGCCACACACAGTTGCCACTGTGTGTTGGTGATGGTGATGGAGGGAGTCAGTGGGTTAGATGGGCTGATTTGTCTTGGATGGTGTCAAGCTTCCTAAGCGTAAGTCACCCTCATCCAGAAGACTATTCTATTATGCGCAAGTGAGATATCATTTCATAGAGTCATACAGCATGGAAACAGACCCTTCGGTCCAACCAGTCCATGCTGACCATAATCCCAAACTAAACTAGTCTCAATTGCCTGCACTTGGCCCATATCTCTCCCAACCTTTCCTATTCATGTATTTATCTAAAGGTCTTTTAAACATTGTACCTGTAGCCTCATCTACTACTTCCTCTGGAAGTTCACACATGAACCACTCTCTGTGTAAAAAAAATTGCCTCTCATGTCTTTTTAAAATCTTTTAAAAAATCTTTCTGCTCTCACCTTAAATATATTGCCAGACTGACTTGAGTAACTGGAAGCAGCGTGTGCACATGGAGCACAGACATTTGAAGAACTACACCTTCAGATTGCCACAGAAAAGCACCATCCCAGGAAGGAGTTTGTGGCACTGACCCCTACAGCAGCAACATTCCCTGTCTAACCAACAACACTTTGCTGGAATTAGAGAGTGTAGTCCCACCTGGAGACTCACAATGGTTGAGCGATACATGTGAATCCTCCCTAATAATACTAAAACAACTAGAGGAAAGGGGGACTTCACTGCAGTTTGTGCGATCTTGCAGCGTGCGAACTGGCTGTAAACTCTTCCATAATATGACGATGACTACTGTTCAATAGTAATTCATTACTGCGAAACAATTTGGAATGGCCTGCAGCCATGAAATAATGACATAAATTCAAATCTTGGTGGGAGTGTACCTTAGTCAGGGCTGACTTGCCCAAGTCACGCACTACTATTGAATTGATAAAAATTTTTGCATTCTCAGGATGCCCTAAGAAGATGGGAAAGTGGTGTTGAGGCCACAGTCAGATCTTATTAAATGGCAGGGAAAACTCAAGGAGCCAAATGGCCTATTGGTGCTCCTAACTCATTTGCTTGTTTGTATAACTTGTAACTGATCAGGAGCTGGATCACATCCCAGTTGCATTGAGGTGAAGGAATTATTTCCATCATTTTATTCAGCATCACAGATTCCAGAATTGTAGTATCACACAGAGCAATTTGGGAAGCTGCTCGCTATTATCTTCTGATTGTTCAAACAAATCGCAGATAGAGGGGTTAGGGTTACCCAGCCTGGCTGACAAACGAAAGGAAAAGAGCCCAGATTAAAGGGCATTTCACACTGTGTCCTTTATCTCTCAGTCAGCTTCCTGCTAAAGGTATAGGTAACGTTGCAATGTGGAGCTCCCCTCATACATTTACTGTTTTGTATGGTTACAACAGAGACAATGTTTCAATAAAGTTCTTACTTTCTCTCTTTCATACTCCTTTTCTGGAAATTCTGGAACATATTTCTGGACTGGGGCATCGAAATCCAGCTTTCCCGCTTCCCAGAGCTTGGCAACAGCAGTCGTGGTAAGGGATTTGCTGATACTAGCAATACGCATGACTGTTTCTGGATTACACAACACCCGGTTTTCCACATCGGCATATCCCAGGCCTTAAAGAAAGTCAGAACAACAAACGAAAGAGCTTCTTCAGTAACAGTGCAGGTCAAAGGTCCTGACAACGTCTAGCCTTGGGCTGACAAGTGGCAAATAGCATTCAAGTCACACAAGTACCAATTGATGACTGCCTCCAACAGGAGAGAATCTAACTATCTCCCCTTGATCACTGAATCCTCCAATGATAACCTCCCTGGAGGGATTCAGTTACCATTAATGAGAAACTGAACTGGACCAGCCATATAAATACTGAGGCCACAGAAGCAGGACACAGGTGGGAATTCTGCAGGGAGTAAGTCCTTTGATAGCTCCCTAGACATGATAGCTATTATGAAGAGGTGGTGCAGGGTGACCAAGATTGGGAACACAATATTCTGGAAGAGTAGGCAAAAATGAAGAAGAGGTGGAGTATCATTATCAATAGAGGAAAGTATCAGATGATAAGCAACAGAGGTGCAATAGATGCAATGTGGAAGCAATAAGGAATATAAGGGTAATAAATCACAAGTAGGAACCATAACTGGAGTACTGTGTACAGTTTTGGGCCCGTATTTAATAAAGGAATTAATAAACAATGAACTGACATTGGAGGCAATTAAGAGAGATTCATTAATCTGATTCCAGGGATGAAGGGCTGACTTACCAAGAAAAAATCACCAGACTAGGCCTTTATTCACTAGGGTTTGGAAGAATGCAAGTAGTTGAAACAATCAAAATCCTGAAGGAGCTTGACAGGATAGATGTTGTGAAGAGAGAGATAGAGAGAGGGGTAGAAAGATATATAGAGAGGCAGAGAGATAGAGAGAGAGACAGAAAGAGAGAGATAGAGAGAGAGATAGGGAGAGAGATAGGGAGATAGAGCTAGAGAGAGTTGGAGAGAGAGAGAAAGAGAAAGGAGATAGAGAAATTGTGCATGTAAAATCTGGAATGCGGGATCCTACTTACAGATTAAGGAACACTCATTTAAAACTGAGATGCAAAGGAATTTCTTCTCCCAGAAGGTAGCGAATGTCTGGACTTCTCTACCCCACAGAGTTGGGGGAGGCTAGATCACTACAAGTATTTAAAGTGGAAATAGACAGATTTTTGAAAGATGAGGGAGTTGATGGCTATGTTGAGCTGACAAGAAACGTGTTGAGGCCTCAAAAAGACACGATCTTAGTGAGCAGTGGGACAGGTTTGAGGACCCAAACGGCCTACTCTGATTCCTGTTTATTATGTTCTCCCAAGCCTGTCCACCGTCTACAAGGCACAGATTAGGATAATGGTAACTGAATCCCTCCAGGGAGGTTATCATTGGAGGATTCAGTGATCAAGGGGAGATAGTTAGATTCTCTCCTGTTCTCTCCACTTGCCTGAATCTAACAACACTCAAAAGATTCACTGCTGTCAACGATACATTTCTACCACCTTAAATATTCACTCCCTCCACCACCAATGCAGAGTGGCAACAGTGTGCCCCATTGACAAGATACCATGCAGCAAGTTACCAACCTTCACCAGTGGCACCTTTGAAACCTGCAACTTCTAGCAACTACAAGGACAAGGGTACTAGATGCATGGGAACATTACTACCCTTCCAAGTTATACACCATCTTAATTTGGAATTATGTCGCTTCTACTGAATTGTAATCATGAAACTTACTGATGAATCGCACTGTAGAAGCCTGGCCTCTTAGGCTAACATTATTCTTCCATGGCATGTGGACAAGGCCAGCGTTTGTTGCCCATTTCTAATGGGGCACTTGATAAGCCACTTTGGGGGACAGCTAAGAGTCAAGCACATTGCTGAGAATCTGGAATCACATGTAGGTCAAAGTAGGTGTAGGCTGGCAGATTTCTTTCACTGAAGGACATTAGTGAACCAGATGGGATTTTACATCAACCGATGACAGTTGTCAGTCACCATCAGGTGAGCTTTAAACTCCAGATTTTTTGGTGGAATTTCAATTAGCACCATCCTCTGTCCCCAGGGCATTGCCTGCACCTCTGGATTACAAAGCTAGTGACATCACTGTAGTGATTGTAATAGGGTCAGCCAAGTGGATCTCTTAGAATATAAAAGTTCCCCGATTGGGGCTGTTAATCTGGTCCAATCACAGAATCCCTAAAGAGTGGAAGCAGGCCCTTCAGCCCATCAAGTCCACACTGACCCTCCAAAGAGCATCCCACCCAGATCCACCCCTCCACCCTATCCCTGTAACCCTGCATTTCCCATGGCCAATCCACCTAACCTGCATGTCGCTGGACACTATGGACAATTTAGCACAGCCAATCCACCTAACTTGCTGGAGTCCTGATGAAGGGTGTAAACTCGAAACATCAACTTTCCTGCTCCTCTGATGCTGCCTTCCTCCAGCTCCACACTGTGTTGACTGCAGTTCTGAGGAAGGGGTCACCGGACCTGAAACGTTAACTCTGATTTTTTCTTCACAGATGCTGCCAGACCTGCTGAACTTTTCCAGCAACTGTTGACTGCACCTACCCTGAACATCTTTGGACTGTGGGAGGAAACCGGAGCACCCAGAGGAAACCCACGCAGGCACGGGGAGAATGTGCAAACTCCACAGAGACCGTCACACAGGTTCCTGGCGCTGTGAGGCAGCAGTGCTAACTACTGAGCCACTGTGCAATCAGGGAGCCGTGGGTGAATATAAGAACAGGAGAGTCAGACATCCTGTTTACTCTGAGAGCTGACTCTCAGGGAGCTGGATCAGTGTTAAGGACTCTCCATGTGTAAATAAAGAGTGACGTGGGATACAAGCCTCTGTGGAGTTATTTCAATTTGCACCATGCAACCGTCAGGTTGATGTAAAGGATTTCCCATCTCACTATTGAAAGCAGAGCAGTGGAAATCTCATCTATCCTGGTACACATTAGTTCCTTTTCCAATATAAATGAAAACAGAAAGCTGCTCTTTTGTTATTTTGCTGCTAATGGTGATCAAAATGACTGCTGGATTTCTCCTTATTACAGAAGCAACTCATTACCTATGAGACACTTGGGCTGTTAAAAGTATTGTAAAAATGCAAGCTCTTTCTTTAATAAAGGATTCTAAGTAGCATTATTTAGCTAATAATGATACATATAAAGAGGATGTCAGGCAAACTTGGAACCACAAAATGAATACAATAGTTTCTTTAAGCTTTCCACAGTGTGTTTTATCATTCACAATGATTCTCACCTCTTCACTGGAAACATCTAACCATGATGGTCACAACTGAGGCAATACAAACCTTCCGACCAAACTTCTTTCCCATCCACAGAAACACCAACGACAATCCCAGGGGCTCCCACTTCATCCTACAAGAGAGAACACGTAAAATCAGCTCTAAGCGCATCACAGAATCACTACAGTGCAGATACAGGCCACTCAGCCAATCGATTGTGCACTGTCCTTCCAAAGAACATCATAGCCAGTACAACCCCTACATCCTATCCCCCTAATAACCATAGGCAACCCACCTCGTCTGCACATCCTTGAACACTAAGGGACAATTTAGCATGGCCAATCCACTCAGCCTGCACATCTTTGGACTGTGCGAGGAAACCGGAGCACCTGGAGGAAACCCACACAGACTGGGAAGAATGTGCAAACTCCACCCAAAGGTGGAATCAAACCTGGGTCCCTGGCGCTGTGAGGCAGTAGTGCTAACTACTGAGCCACTGTATTGCCCATCGGTGAGAGAACGCACACCTCATTTAGTAACCATTAACGATAGCAAGATTGGCGTTATTGTTCGATCGCCTGATATGAAAGATGAGTTCATTTCGTCAGTTCAATCCATTACTCAGGCATCTACCCATAAATGAATCAGACGTTGAAGCTATTCAAACTGTGCATCAAAAACACGTGTCACCTGCAGAAAAGAAATTCAGAATGGCCTCACAGTAAAAGTCACCTCATTTTGAAGCACCGAATTAGACAGGCCAAATGATCGAAGGTTTAACTTGTAACCCATTACTGGGATCAGTTTCTCAACACCATTTACCCACCATTGCTCTACATTTCTTAATTTACTTCCAATAAAACTGAGGAGGGGTAAAATATTTTCTCTCAGGAAGATCGTGAAGCTTTGGAACTCTCTTCCTGAAAAGAGGGTGTAAGTGGAGTCCTTGAATATTTTTTACAGCAGAGGTAGATAGATTCTTGGTGAGCAAGAGGGGTGAAAGGTTAATGGCATTAAGCGAGAATGTGAAGTCGAGGTTACAACCAGATCAGCCATGATCTTATCGAATAGCCTACCCCTGCTCGACCTTATTCATCATCCCACATCGACCACTGAATCAAAGAGTTTTCAACCTCAGTGTCCCAGTTTGCTCCAAGCTGAGCTATCAGTTCCATACTGTCTGCATCACAATTTCCAGGCCTTACTTGATTTCTCTTCCCACTCCCAGCGTCCCCCATCTATCTCCAGCTACAAATCCATTTTTAGCCACCTTTCCCTATTTTTATACTCTGTTACCTGTGAAATAAAGGGCAACAGGGAAGACAAATGGAATGTTGTCCTTTATCTCAATGGTAATGAAGTATAAAATGCAGAGGTTTTGCTAAAACTATACAAGGCACTACTTAAACCACACCTGGGTTACTGTGAACAGGTTTGGACCCCTTTTCTAAGGAAATATATATTGGCATTGGAAGCACTCCAAAGAAGGTTCGCCAGGTTAATCCTGGGTATGGAAGGATTTTCTTATGACAGAGGTTAAGTAGGTTGGGGCTGTACTCATTGGGAGCTTAGAAGAATGAGAGGCAATCTTATTGAAACATATATGATTCTTAGGGGACCTGACAGGGTAGACGCAGGGATGTTGTTTCCCCTTGTGGGGGATTCTAGAACCAGACATCACAATCTCAGCAATAAGGGGATCCCCATTTAAGATAAAGAAGAGCTTTCTTCATTCCATGCATGCATGGAATTCTTTACCGCAGGAAGGCTGTCAAGGCTGGGCCATTAAGCATATTCAAGGCTGAGATAGACAGATTTTAAGGGAAATCACGGGTTATGGGGATAAGGCAGGAAGGTGCAGTGAGGGTTATCAGATCATCCGTGATGTCACTGAGTGGTATAGCAACTTCGACGGGCCAAATGGCCTACTTCTGTTCCTACATTTTATGGTCTTTCCGAGGATTTCCTTGGCTCGGTATTCTTATTTTGATTCGATCTTGGTGAAATGCCCTGGGACATTTTCTGATGATCGTATGCTAGGCGTTTGGAGGGAGGTGTCTCACTTTTTAAAGACATCCTGATTCTCGCATCATTGAATTATATGTGATTCAGTCACGAGTTTTGCCAAATGACCTGCCTCCATTTTCAAAGATTAGATACCCTTAATTCAACGGCAACTAAAAAGCAACATACACCAAAACCCGGACCATGGATTGAACATCGTTAGAAAACTTCTAGTAAGCTTCAAAATATTGTGTTTACAAGAACAGGTCAAGAGGCTGGAAATTTTGTGATGAGTAACTCACATCCTGATTCCCCAAAGCCTATCCACCATCCTCAGGCACAAGTCAGGAGTGTGATGGAATACTCTCTACTTGCCTGGATGGGGGCAGCTCCAACAACACTCAAGAAATGTGACACCATCCAGGACAAAGCAGCCTGATTGATTGGCATCACATCCATTCCCTCCACCAGTGAAACAAAGTGCCAGCAGTGTGTACCATCTACTAGAGGCACTGCAACTCACCAACGCTCTTTTGATGGCACTTTCCAAAGCCACAACCTCTACCATCTAGAACTGGACTTCCCATAATGGAAGCCGGGACCCCAAGTGAGGTCGTTTTGCAGGTGTGAGTCTTAAGGACCAAGTTACAAAAACTGTGCTCCCTCTCACTCAAACCACACCACCATATCTTCAGTGTCTCTGGGGCCAAATCCTGGAACTCCCTTCCTAACTGCATTTCAAGTGTCCCTACCCTATCTGGACTAAAGCATTTCAAGTAGACAGCACACCAGAACCTTCTCAAAGGACAACTAAGGATGAACAGGAAATGGTGAGACTACACAACGATGTCTACATACCTTGAATGGATAAAAGCAAAATCCTGAACAATAATATGAAGGTGCCTGTTTACTCAACATTTAGCGTAACAAAGCAGAAAGATGTTAGGATTTGGCTGAGCTTTGGTCTACTGTCACTCCTCATCACTGACACTTCACAAGAGCAGTGGCTATAGAACAACTCAATTGTTAGAATGTTCTTACAATTATCCTGAAGCACTGAAAAAGATAGTCAAGATCACATGCAAATCATCAACCTTTCTGTAGTTCCTGTAGAGCCGTGTGAATCACAAAAGGGTGTGTGATACGGACAATGTGATTTGAGCAGCAAGTGTAGAACTATGGTCTGCTGTAAAAGATTGGCTTCAATGCTGTGTGCTGGAAATTTAAAGATTAGGTAGAGAGCTGTGCATAATGCTCCACATATTTGGACTGAGTACATAACGAGCTTGCATCCGTATGAAAAATGGGATGGGAAGGTGAAGACTTCAAGTGGATATCAAAGA